AACAAATCCAAATAACAAATACAAATAACAAATACAATTGGTGTAACCTAATTCTTTGTACCCTCAAGGAATCCCAAACAATAAAAAAAAGCATCCAGCAGGACCCTTGCCCCCTCCCCTAATCCCCCAATCACCCACTCCTAGAAACCTGCCTTAGGAAACAAGCAGACTATAATCAGCCACAGACTGTAAGCTTCCCGCAGCTCTACCAAAGCTCTACCAGCAGATTGGTATTCTTGCACCTAGGCCTACACACAGTCTTGCAGTCCAGGACCTCTCCGCCCCTCTCAACCTGGTAAAATCCTACCTGGATTTCAGGTTTTACTTCAGACATGACTAACTAGGCTGGGGGCTCTTCCTCTCATGGCACGCACCACACTGCTCTGTAATTAGCACTTACTTGTCTCTAACTCCGAGCAGACAAGAACAGGAATTATGGGGCCCTTGTCTGGCTGTTTTCCCCCATGCCCTGCAAAGTAGGCACACAACACATGACCTGAATGGGAAATAAAAAGAAAAATGGCACGCCCTACAACAATGTCCTGACAGCCCCATGAGCTCTCTGGCCTCCTTGCAGCCCCAGACAGAAGCCAGGACTTACTGACATGAAGTGGAATCTGAGTACATTGTCAATTCCCAGTGCTTTCAGTTGCAGGATAACGGGTGCCAAATTGCTACGCTGCATCTCAGGAACGGTGGATTCAGGCAACTTGTCAAAGGCTTCCTCTGCAGATAGGAAATCAGAACTGTTTCAGATCAAACATCACAAGCAAATGCAATCACTGTTTTTCTTTTCTACCTTGAACAGGAGCAGTAGGATTCTAGGAGCAAATCCATATACTATCATAATAAAAAGTTGATTTTATACCTAGGAAAGATAGTTGTATTTAAAATATACTTTAGATAAACATATGTGAAGAATATACCTTTATAAAAGTCTGTCTTTTTACTTCAGAATGCAGTTTTTCAAGTGCTTTTTGTCAGCAAAACATTAAATCAAAGCAACAAGTATTTGCTGACTCAGTGTCAGTGCCCAGCTGCTACCAGCAGCTCTGCTTGGGGTAGAGAAGTCGAGGAGGTAAGAACCGCATACATAAGCAAAGAACTCCAACAGCTCACTGAAATATTAATAGCACCAAAATACAACAAATGACCAGATCTTATAAACAGAAAAAACTGTCCACATCTAACTTTTTAAGTCAGATGAACCAGGCATACAACATCATGCCTAGAATCAGATGCTACTCCAAAGAGATTACTGAAGGTTACATATCTGCTCAGAAACAAAAGGTGACCTGAACAGGAAAATGCATCATCAGACAGTGAAATCCTAGGCTGGGAAGTGCAGAAAAGAGGGTGGGGAGGGAAAGAGACTTGGGAAGGCCTTTTTTATATAAAGCTAAGCCAAAAGGGTGGGGGGAAAAAGAGGAAGGAAGAGATTAAATCATTTCTGTGTATATTCAGAAAGCTTACGGATTATATTGAGAATCCTCCACCCACAAAATCTTCCCACATCAGTCAACATTTTAAGTGATGCACACCCTTCCTAAACAACACACGGTGGCCCAACTTCCATTTAGATTACAAAGCTTCAGTGAATTACAGAATAAAAAAACAAACCAAGAGTGTCATGAAGAAATAGCACTGTCACTGAATAACTTCAAAAAGCTTTGCTCTGAGAAAACAGACATCCAATATTCTGTGGACTGATAGATAGAAATCGCCAATTGCACGGGTCTAAGTGGAAGGTTCTGGATGACAGGCACCAGGAGGAAGTTCCAACTGGGATACTCCCTGTAGTTTCAAGACTATGCTCGATACAGCACCCTACTGACTGAGGGAGAAACAGAATTATCGGACGACTCTTTTGCTGAGAAGATGCTCACAGGAAGTAGGTATTTCCTGAGAGTTCACAGACACGCAACCCTCTGGAGGACCAGAGTGTGGGAGGTGGGCCAGGAGCTGCAGGAGCCACAGGCATTCCCCTTGAAAAGCTTCAGCGATACGAAGCGACAAGACTCCAAGGAGGAACAGGCGTATTCCCAGTGAGTGGAGGCTCAGGAAAGGCCAGCACAGTCTCCAGCACGCACCTATGGAAGCTTCAGAAGGGGTTGCCATTTGAGAGGATGTGAAGCATACGGAGGGAGGTTCTGCTGCAGGGCAAAGAGGAAACGGCCCCAGGAAAAGGTATCAAAGTGTAAGCAGAAGGCAGCGCAAGAAGAGTGTGATTCAGCTGGGACGCAGTAGAGGGTAGGTGTGGGGAAAAGACAGGCTGAGGAAAAGTCTTGGAAGGTTCTGGGAACTGTGAAGGGTCTGAGCAGATGGTACCCTGTTCAGAACTGCACAATCTAGAAGCCAGGGGCTGGACACAGACACCCTCATTACCGTCAGCCAGTAACCCTCTAACCCCACTTCCACCAAAACTGCTCATGCTACGGGAGCCAGTGATCTTTCACCCCAATCCACTGGGGTGAAATGACAGAAGAAATGATGCTGGCCATTCCTCTTTAAAATAACTCAAGCCCCAGCAGAGAGAGAAAGAGGGAGGGAGAGAGGTGGGGGTAAGGAAGAGCAGAGAGAGGGAAGGGGGGGGGCCTTGGTGTGTGACACACCTTTTGGGGGCAAGGAACAATTGTAAGAGGGACTTTACCTAACAAATGCAATCAGTGTAACCTGGTTTTCTGTACCCTCAATGAATCCCCAACAATAAAATAAATAAATAAATAACTCAAACTCCTAACAAATTAAACACAGAATTATCATATGACCTTGCAATACCTAAATGAATGAAAAACAAGTACTCAGGACAGTACCTGTGGCTCAGTGGGTAGGGCACCAGCCCCATATACCAAGGGTGGCAGGTTGGAACCCAGCCCCAGCCAAACTGCAACAAAATAGCCAGGCCTTGTGGCAGGCACCTGTAGTCCCAGCTACTCGGGAGGCTGGAGCAAGAGAATCGCCTAAGCCTAGGAGTTGGAGGTTGCTGTGAGCTGTGACACCATGGCACTCTACTGAGGGCAATAAAGTGAGACTCTGTCTCAAAAAAAAAGAAGAAAGACAAAGAAAAAAAAAGAAAAACAAGTACTCAAACACACATACACACACATTCATAGCCGCTCTACTCACATCCGCCAAAAGATGGAAACAGCTGGTCAACACATGAATGGACCAATCATGGTTTACCTATACAATGGAATTCACTCATAAAAAGGAATGAAAAAACATGCTACAATACAGATGAATCTAAAAATGCTAAGTAAAAGAAGCTACACATAAAAAACCACTGATTATATGATTTTATTGTTATGAAATAGCCAAAAGAGAGAAATCCAGAGAGAAGAATGCAGATTGCTAATTGCCCGGGGCTGGGGACTGAGACTAATGGGGAGAAACTGCTTAATAAGTAAGAGGTTTTACTCTGGAGAATGTTTTGAAACCAGATAGAGGTGGTGGCTGCACAACATTGTGAATATAACAAATGCCACAAAATTGCTCACTTTAAAAATGGTTAATTTCGTTGTGTAAATTTCACCTCAAGTTATTTCTAAAAAGAAAATTATCTTGAAACTTTCTCCTTGTCTGCCTTTCAGAATGTCCTTTAGTCCTGGTGCTCCTTTTCCCACTCCAACCATTCCTTCTGAGCAGCTTTTTTTTTTTCTTGAGACAGACACTCACTATGTCACCCTCGGTGGAGTGCCATGGCGTCATAACTCACAGCAACCTCCAACTCTTGGGCTTAAGCGACTCCCTTGCCTCAGCCTCCCAAGTAGCTGGGACTACAGGGGCTTGCCACAATGCCTGGCATTTTTTTTTTTTGGTTGTAGTTGTCATTGATGTTTGGCAGGCCCAGGCTGGGTTCGAACCCGCCAGCTTCAGTGTATGTGGCTGGTGCCCTAGCTGCTGAGCTACAGGCACAGAGCCTCCTTCTTAGCATCTTCAGCAGTTGCCCTTACTTCTCCAGCCTTGAGTTCTGCCTACTCCCTCCCTTCCACAAACGCCCTGTACCCTCTTCCTTCCTTCCAAGTACTGGCATATTCCATGCCCCGTCTGGAGTGCTGAAATTGACCTCCACTGCCACCCGTTCACCTGGACAACTAAGGTCAGGCCCAAACACCACCTTGGTTGTGAAATGCTCCCCAGCAGGGTAATATTGAGCCTGTTCCCTGCTTCCAGGGCTTCCTATTTTTTTATGGCAGCCCTAGCATACCATAATATGCTGATCTGTTAGTGGATTTTCTGCTATCACCAGACTGCCTACCACGTGGCCACAGACCTAGCCCCAGATTTCCAAGCTCTAAAACCATGCTCAGCACAAAGCAGGTGTTCGGTAATCATTTGATAAAAACAAGAACAATGTCAAACGCTGAATAAGGACAATGATAATCAGAAGGGAAAACAGTAAAAGGCGGGCTAAAACTCCTGGACCTTCTTTAGAGGTAGCTACAGCAACGGAAAAAAGCAAAACGGAACAAAACAACCCTGGACCTGGTAAATGAGTGCAGATGGGCACTGGAGAGGAGGAGGGACTTAACAATGACTTAGACACTGAATCTGGACAAATGGGGAAATCTCAGTATCATTCCCCACAAAAGAAGGGTGCAAAGGGGGAAACAGCAACTCAGAGCACATCATTATTTGTAGGTAAGACTGTCTTCAAGCTAGAAAGAAAACTCCTGAAGCTGGTACTGGAATTTCATTCTGCTCCCTCAGAGCCTAGAATGGCGCATGGCACAGAGAGAGAATTCACTAGCTATTTGTTTTCTATGAAAGAGTGGACTCTGCATTTTAGCACAGCAGAGACGCTCTGAATCAGAGGCAAAAGTGGAACCCAACAGAGGCCCCACAAGATTCAGGGATCTCAGAATAAGAAAACAACCCAGTAAACCAAGGGAAAGGAAAGAAAGACAGGACCTGACCCAGAGCCCGCGCTACAGGGCATGTGGCTACAAACAGGCCAGACATCACTCAGGTAAGAAGAGCAACGGCAGATAGGTGGTGACCATGTGGCCAGCTCTGGCTGATGAGGAGTGGCAGCAAAGAAATGCTATGTTTGGAGTGAGGAGGGCAGTGGGAGTCAGACGACACAGAGCTTTGTGAGGGAGGCCTGGATTTGATGCAAAGTTCTGCCATCTTTGCTGACTATGAGAAAGTCCAAACCTTAAGAAAGCCACACTTACCTGTATAAAGGCGGTAACATTTTCCCGAGCGGCTGCGACCACCACGTCCTGCTCGCTGGTTGGCTGACGCCTGGGACACTGGCACCACCACCAAGCATTCGATAGCCGTCCTGGGATTGTAAGCTCGAAGCTTCACAAAGCCACAGTCAATCACATACACAACCCCGCTGATTGTAATGGAGGTTTCTGCCACATTTGTGGCCACTATCACCTAAGTTTCCCACAGAAGAGAAGAGAAAGAAGTTATTTTATTCATTTCACTTTTACTAAACTCTCAGAAATGCTAAAGAGCGAATGGTATTTCCAACACCGTAGGATCTGTGACAGGCAATTTGATCTATCACAAAGAGCATGAGTGTCAGAGTCAGGGTAACCTGGGTTTGAAGTCTCCCTAATCATGTGACCCTGGACAAGTCACTCAACCTTGAGAGCATCCATTTCTTCACCTAAATAATATTTATCACCTCCCCCAGAGTTACTGAAAGGATTAAAAAAGACATACATAAAGGGATCAGAGCCTACTACTTAGAACATAGCAAATATTCAAGAATGTTACTTTCCCCCTTTTGCACAACCAAAGTAAATCACTAACTTCATTTATCCATTCACATTCTAACTATTTTCTGAGGGTGTGAGCTTTGCCATGCGCTGTTCAAGGTGCTGGGAATGTATGATGGCAAGACAGATAAGAATTTACTCTGTCAGCTCAGCACCTGTAGCTCAAGTGGCTAGGGCGCCAGCCACATACACCAGAGCTAGCAGGTTCAAATCCAACCCAGGCCTGCCAAACAACAATGACAACTACAACCAAAAAATAGCCAGGCGCTGTGGTGGGTGCCTGTAGTCCCAGCTACTTGGGAGGCTGAGGCAAGAAAATTGCTTAAGCCCAGGAGTCAGAGGTTGCTGTTTGCTATGACCCCATGGCACTCTACCCAGGGCAACAGCTTGAGGCTCTGTCTCAGAAAAAAAGAATTTATTCTGGCGTGTTTGGAATACGGAGGTACTAAGGAAAAAGAAGATCATTTCAGAATTTCAGACAGCAACAAATACCATGAAGAAAATTCAACCAGGTAACATAATATCACACAGCACATAACATGTATATTATATGTTTTAGTAGTATAATAACAGGGCATAATAACAGTACACTGGTTGGCCAGGGAAAGCCTCTCTGAATGATGACTTTGAATTGAGACCCGAGTTAACTGGAAGCAGCCAATCCTACAAAGCATAAGAGACAGTTCAAAGGCAGGAGAAACAGCCAGAATACAGAGTAAGCACAAGAGGAAGTTAAGGAGGGAGGCAGAGAGCAGATCACATGTGGTCTATGGGCCAATGTGAGATATTTGTATTTTATTCCAATTAAACTAGGAGCTGCCTCTGTAGGGTTTTAAGCAGCAAAGGATGTGTATATATGGCCCTTAAAAATTTTCTCAGTGACTCTGCATTTTATAAATCATCTTATAGGCCAGGTATGGTGGCTCATGCCTATAATCCTAGTACTCTGGGAGGCCAAGGAGGGCAGATTGCCTGAGCTCACAGGTTTGAGACCAGCCTGAACCAGATCGAGACTTTGTCTCTAAGAACAGCCGGGCATTGTGGTAGGTGCCTATAGTCCCAGCTACGTGGGAGGCTGAGGCAAGAGAATTGTTAGGTCCAAGAGTTGGAGGCTGCTGTGAAGTATGATGCCATGGCACTCTACCAACGGTGACAAAGTGAAACTCTGTCTCAAAAATAAAAAATAAATAAATCATCTTATAAAAATCATATTATAAATGATCATTTTATAAAAATCTTCCTAATGTTTTTATGTAGTAGATAGTTGAGATTTTATGTTATAAAACTATTTAAAAGTTAAAACTTATGTTCAGCAGCTACAAAACCTGAGACTCGAGATTGAGAAACTCATGGCAGGGCACACAGCAACCCAGGGGAGGAAGCAGGACTCCTGACTGGCTGGCCACAATCAATGTTTGACTGGGCAGATTTGAGCTGCTCTATCCCAGTGGCCAAAGGCTGAGCACCCTCTTCCAAGTGGTCTGAAATTGAAAGCAGGTCCTCAGACCATCCCACGCCTCCTTTAGCTACTACTATATAAGCTGACTTCTGGCTGGCTCTGTGCATTCCTCATCTGATGGGAGGAACAGCAGAGTCAGGCCCAGGGGCACCAGGAGCAGTAAGCAGACTGGCTGCCTGCTGGCTCCTTCACACAGGATGCTTTCCACCTCACCCTTCCCCACCCCAAGTTCAAGGCTAAAGATTTCTACGCCACACCTTGAATTAATTGGTTTAAATTTGGTTCTATGGGCAAACTGATACTTAAATGATTTAGGTTTTAGACCACTGTGGTAACTTACCTACTGCTCTGACTAAGCACAATCTGCCAAAATAGTCCCATAAGCCAAGGCAGTAAGTATCTATCATGTTATGGGAAATATCAGGCAGGCAGAAGAGAGGCAGTACTGTGAGTGGGTGGGTTTAGGAATCTTCGCAACACCTTATCTATCATGCACTTTTAGACCTACTACACAGAAACAAGAACCTAAAACTCTGAAAGAAACGTTCCTGTTTAGCAAGATTCACGTCAATTACAAAAATCCTTTCCAACATGGAAAGGACAGCAAAGGGGCACCAATATGATTGTAAATGGCTGCAAATACCCATGGTCATCAGGAGAGTCTCACCTTTCTGACACTGCGTGACACCCTTTCAAACACTTTCATTTGCTCAAAGGAAGGCAGTCCTGCATACATGGGGAGAACTCGGAGGTGTCTCTTCATCCCAGTGCGAGCTAGTGCTCGAGCCTGCTCGATCAGCATGGAAACAATAGTTTCTACCTCTTCCTAAAGACAATGAACCAGGAATCAAAGAAAACAAGATCAATTTGAAACATGCCATTTTATCACACGGAAAGAAAATGAAAGTTGGGATCAGGATTTTAATTCTGGTCAGATTCAAGAATTTTAGTTCCATAATGTTCCACTCTGGCAGCACAGCCTCCTCAAAGTTAGTTTGGACCTGCCCAGCAGGTAATTAGTACCTGGATAAATAGCATAAATATTCCAATCAAATGTTACTGAACAATGACCATCAACAGATAAAAATTTGTAACTAATATTAATTACTAAAAGTCTATACTATCTGCAAAGAATAGAAGAGTTCCCAATAAATAAAAACAACGACTATTTCACTCAGCTTACATGTGTATTTCATGCACATGGACAAGTTGCCATATTGAGTGAGCACTTGGGCTTATGCAATTGTTTTCCTGTAACATGGACCCTTGTCACTTCCAGGATGAGTTGTAAAGGTGTCACTGGGAAAAGAGGTGTGAAGCAGAAAAATGCACCTGATGCCATATTACATTCTGGCAGACAATACAACCCATTGAGTGAACTATCTAATTTATTCTGGAATCAGCTAATAAATTTGAAATACATTTAGCCCTTTGCAGACCCAACAGGCAGGCGCTAATGACTCCTTGACAGCTTAGTTGGGAGATGAATGACACTGAAGCAAACACATGTTTACACAATTAAGTAACCACACAAAACAACAATACATGAAATAAAGGGCCGAGTAAATTAACAGAGCTTGTGTTAATTTTGGTGCTGCCTTAACATGTCTCATCATGGAGAGGTCCAGAGGAATTACCTGGCCAGTAAGAAACGCTAATATGTCTCCATCTCCCTCCGTCTGGTGTATTTTCAGAACCGTTTCCACAGTTGATTTGATGTAATCTGGAACAGGACTGAAAAGATGTGTGGGATGAATTCATCAGGAGACTATGCTCCCTAATTACAGATCAGTTACCCTAATAATCTGGCAGCACAGCCTCCTCAAAGTTAGTTTGGACCTGCCCAGCAGGTAATTAGTACCTGGATAAATAACATAAATATTCACTCTTTCCTCCCTCCCTTTTTTAAAATGTAAGTAATCCGAGAGTAATCCATAATTATATAAACTATGATTTTTAGCTTTATGTGCAAAGAAATAAAAATTTTATACCCATGCAAGGAGATGGATTATCTTTAACATGCAAAGACACAGGGCCAGTGAAAAATCTGGGACTGTGGTCCCAGTGGTGAATCCCACACTCTTCCTGGCCCGTTTTCCCTCCTGACTGTTGGCAGCACGTATGAGTTGGCTGGATGGAGCTGGGGGATGTACTATCTAGCCAGAGTGACTCAGAAGTCAAGTCTACAACTCTCTGGATTTACAGCCACTGGACCAAACTCCTGGTCTTTGCTTCCCAGTGACTGCATATAGGAATTAGAATGGTCCTTTCTTGTCCATGGGCCTCCTCCCAAAAATGCCAATCAGGCCTTCTCACTAAAGTGCAGAGAGGTGAGAACCAAACCACCAGTACTGCTCCCACTGACAGGCAGCCTTGTAAACCCCAGTTCTGAGAACTACCATGCTCCTCTCCTGCAACCTTTCACCACTTTGCGCTCTCCAACTGAGCTACTGGCCAGACTCAGGGAAATGTGTGCATCAGTGTTAAGAGTTTAAATTTAACAGTGATGCTGAGCAGAGTTCCTCAACATTCTAGATCAGGGGGCCTCAAACTTTTTTAACAGGGGGCCAGTTCATTGTCCCTCAGACCGCTGGAAGGCCGGACTGCGGGCCTCGGTACGAGTGGCTGCTAAGCAGGACAGGCAGCGGCAGCAAAAACACTCAGCAGGCCGGATAAATGTCCTCGGTGGGCCACATGTGACCCAAAGGCCGAGGTTTGAGGACACCTGTTCTAAATCAATGACAAGAGACACAAAACATGCTCTTCCTCATCCCCTTAGAGCTTCGAGCCCTGTCATTCCACATTACAGGTGGAGGGTTTTGTTTTTTGTTTTATTTTTTTTGAGACAGAGTCTCACTATGTTGCCCTGGGTAGAGTGCCATGGTGGCACAGCTCACAGCAACCTCCAACTCTTGGGCTTAAGCGATTCTCTTGCCTCAGCCTCCCATGTAGCTGGGACTACAGGAGCCTGCCACAATACCCAGCTATTTTTCTGTTGCAGTTGTCATTGTTGCTTAGCTAGTCCGGGCTTGGTTCGAACCTGCCAGCCTCAGTGTATGTGGTCAGCACCATAACCACTGTGCTATGGGCACTAAGCCCAGAGTTCTCTAATCATCACCATCAAGAATTCAAACATCATTACCTTTGTAGATAAAAAATATCCACGGGAAATGTTCTCCCTTCCACTGTAAGGATCACACATGTATCCCTAGTTGGGTCACTGGTTTCATTTTGATTGAAGAAATCTCGAAATTTCTAAAAAAAAAAATAAAAATAAATTCTTCCTTCCTCTCAGAAACAAGTTTCATAGTAATTCATGGAAAGAAAATAATATAAAACTGGCAGAGGAGAGGAGGGTAACAGATTAGATATATGTAATACAGATGATGGATTACAAAATAATCCTAAAAGTTCACATTTTTCTTACTGAAACTGGGGGGGAATCACATTTCAGTGACAGAGTATTGACTTAAAGTTTGATAAAAATAATAAAGGCTTAATTTCAAAACTGCATTCAGTAACACACCTGGGTTAACATGTAGGTGTGGTACTGTTTATCTTATTGCTGTCCCCTGTATCTTATTCCAGGCCCCTGTATGTTATTTAACCAAAACTTCAGTCAAAAGGTGGGATTCACGTTTGATACAGGTTAAATCAGTCTCATGTGTACCTCTATGTGGAAAGCACAGATGTGCTCATAAAGTTACCAGTTCATAAAAAGAAACTTTTACTTCAGTGAAAAGTAAATATGGTCCTGGCCCATGTGACTGGTTTTAGGCAGGGATGGTGTCTTCTCCTCTTTCCAGGTGTGGCTGGAGTTACACAATGGTTTATATGGGGTAGGCCATCAGTGATGCACTTTCCCGACACCCCCACAGCACCCTATGGGGAGAAGCAGCTCTTGGCAGTTTCTGCGGAGCAAGTGGCTGCATCCTATTCAATAGCATCAACATGTTTGCAGCCTATGGGGAGGGCTAGCCACAGAGATCTTGCCAAGGAGCAGGGTAAGGAAACAACAGCAAAGGTCGTGTTTTAGGGTGTGTGAACATAAGGTACACAGAGTAGCTAAGACTAAGAAGAGCTGAGTGATCAAACTGGCAGGTAGGTGAGCACTGGGCAGGAAGAGGCTAGTGCCAGCTGCAGTGGGGCTTGGACATGCCATTTGGTAAATATATTTCATAATTTGATTCTGAATGTTCTTCCCACTCCCCAACTATATTCCAGTTTCCCTGTGGCCTGGCTACATAACCACAAGGCCTGTCTTCTTTACTGCCCCAGGTATCTTTACAAAACGTGCTTATCCCGCTCCTGGAAACCCAAGAGCCCAGGAACGCACTACTGCTCTGCCTCACATACAACGTGCAAGGGCTTGCAGGGCTACTTCTAAAAGAATCAGCTGGGCTGAGCTCAGGGTTTCATAGTGGGAGACTGAGGCAGAAGGACTGGTGGAGGCCAGGAGTTTGAAATCAGCCCAAGTAAAGGTCGAGACCACATCTCTACAAAAAAATAGAAAAAATGCTGAGTGTGGTGGTAGGCACCTGTGCTCTCAGCTACTAGGGAAGCTGAGGCAGAAGGATTCCTTGAGCCCAGGAATTTGAGGTGGCTGTGAGTTAGGCTAACAGCATTGCACTGTAGCCTAGGCAACTGAGTAAGAACCCGTCTCAAAAAAAAAAAAAAAATTACTTCCAGAAAGTCATCTACATCATCTGTATCTGTAACTACTGTAGGCAGAATTGAAGTGGCTATTTTTTAAATCTCTCTGCCGCATAGAAAGACAACGGAAGTCAATGTGAGCAATTAATAAGTATGAACTAACAGTGAATCTACACTAGGATGTTATAGTTTTCAACACAACAAAAACCACTTAGAATACTTTTTTAAAACTTACTTTAATAATTTTAAGGGAGTAGAAGGGAAGAGATAAAATGAAGATGCTCTATGCGCTTTTGCCTAGGAGGAGATAACTGGAGATGAGGTCAGATATAGCATTCCACCAAATTAACGTTAGAGACGCAGGAGATAAAAATTATTAAAGAGGACAACAAAGAAGCTTTAACCCAAAAGTTATCAGGGGGAAACCTATGACAACACACTTCCACAGTCTGTGAAAAGGTCGGAGAAACCAGTCTGGGTAGACACACAGACATCCACGTGTCTTAGCCAAGCTGAGCTTTTTCTCTCTCCAAGTTGTCCTGCAGCACCCCTGAAGCCACAGAGCAACCAGGGAGCAGGAGCCAGGGCCCAAGTCCTTTCCATCCTAACTGGCGTCTCTACATCTACTCCTGTCTCTTCTACACAGCACCCAGTATAATCTTTCTTTCTTTCTTTCTTTTCTTTTTTGAGACAGAGTCTCACTTTGGCACCCTTGCAAGTACCATGGTGTCATAGTTCAGAGCAACCTCCAACTCTTGGGCTCAAGAAATTCTCCTGCCTCAGCCTCCCAAGTAGCTGGGACTACAGGTGCCCAGCTATTTTTAGAGACAGGGTCTCACTCTGGCTCAGGCTGGTCTCAAACACGTGAGCTCAGGCAATCCACCCACTTCGGCCTCCCAGAGTGCTAGGATTACAGGCATGAGCTACTGCCCCCGGCCAGTATAATCTTTCTAGAAGCCAAATATGATCAAGTCATTACTGCATCCCACACCTTCCCAAGATGGAGTCTTCACTTAGCCTCTAAGGCAGCGGTTCTCAACCTGTGGGTAACTGTACTAAAGGGCCCCGACATTAGGAAGGTTGAGAACCACTGCTCTAAGGCCTTCCAACATCTGAACCCTTTGAGCCCCTCCATTTTAATCTTTAATCTCCCACTGCTTCTCATTCAAACAAAATTCAATGAACCCAAGCACCTTCTCTGTGCCAGACATTGCTTTAGGTAGAAGGGTGAAACAATGAGCAAGTCGGTCCAAGTCCCAATCCTCATGGAGCTTACAGTTCAGTGACAGGAGACACACAACAAACGCTGAATATGCATCTAGTGTTAGGTAGTGACGAGGGCTAAACAGAAACAAAGTGATCAGACTAAGAGGGCAGAGAGCCATGAGGTATGTTTTAGACAGGGTGATCAGGAAAAGCTTGGAGGAGATAAATGATCAATGCTCGAATGAAGTGAGGGGAGAGCAAAGAGAATGACTAGAGGAAGAATGGTCTAGAAAGAGGGCACGCCCAGAGCATAGGTATATTTGGGTTATTTTGAGGAACAGAAAGGGGACCCGTGGGGCTGGGGCATAGGGAGCACTGGAGAAGGTGGAAGGAGATAAAGTCAGAGAGGTGGTTTGGGGACAGATCACCTTCGTGGGCCTGGCAGGCAAGGTAAGACTCAAAGCTCCTTGAACACATGATTTCGTGCCCCTGTGGCTGGAGTTAAGGATGGCCTACCTTAGCACCCACCCTGAACACAATGAACTGCAAACATCTATGTAAGTGTCTACTTCCCGAAACAAGTGAGGGAGTGTACAAATCACTTGTAGCTAGCCTGGTGCTCAGCATACATACTTAAGGGGCCAAAACATGTACACACATTTTAAGGGATGTTACCTATGTATTACTTTGTGAAGTTGAATTGATGGTACCATTATTGGTCAAGTATATCTGGACATGCTATGCACATCCAGTTTACCTGCAATTTGTACACTTTTAGAATGATCAATTTTACTTCCGACAAGATTGCTTAAAATGTATACACCTTTTTTGGCACCCTTGGTATATAACAAGTGGCTAAAAATACTTGTTTAGGTGAACTGGTGTTTGTTATCAAGGGGGAAAAATAATGTGAACTTACCCATAAAAAATTTTAACATGGAAATTATCATATATACATAGGGAAAACTTCAATTATACAAAAAATCTAAATATATATGCTAAAGTCATAAATAAATTCAAGAAATAAGCCTCATTTGAAAAGAATAACAAAAAGAAGCTGCCTATGTATGGAATAGATAGTATGCAGAAAAACAAGACAAGTAGGTAATAATGAACTCAATTAATTACAGCCTAATTTCCACCCACAAGCTGAAACAGAGTATCCCCTGATTATATGAAACCTAGGATATCAGATGGCCCCATCAGGAAGGCGGGTCAGCCTGCCAAAGACAAGGTCTTGCTACACGTGACTTCCCAAGGGTATGACCAATAATTCCTGTGTGTTAGGGGCAGAAGAAAGGGGTGATGCTCCTACCTCTGCATCCAGAGTCGCTGAAGCCACAATCAATCGAAGATCCCCTCGCTTTTTTTGAATCTAAAGAGGTGGAAAAAATGAAAACAGTGCAATACTTGTGGATAAAATAAGTTGATATCTGGGTTTTTTTTTTGAGACAAAGCCTCAAGCTGTCCCCCTGAGTAGAGTGCCGTGGCATCACAGCTCACAGCAACCTCACCAACTCCTGGGCTCAAGTGAGTCTCCTGCCTCAGCCTCCCAAGTAGCTGGGACTACAGGTGCCTGCCACAACACCTGGCTATTTTTTGGTTGGAGCCGTCATTGGTGTTTGGCAGGCCCGGGCTGGATTCGAACCTGCCACCTGAGCCATAGGCGCCAAGCCACAAGTCAATATCTGAAATTTACTTCAAAACAATCCAGCATGTGTATTTTTTGGCCAAAGGGAGTTTACAGACGAAACAAGGCTGAACAGAAATCAATCATTATTAAAATCACAGGTAAAAAGGGGATCATTATATCAATATTTCTAATTTTGTAAATGCATGGAATTTTCTAAAACAAAAAGCTTTCTAAAAATCTTAAGAATATAAAAGACCTTTAAAATCCAAATCTGAATTTATTGAAAATAAAACCATTTTTTTCCTGATACTTGGGTCTTGGGATAGTCTGAATCCATGTATAAATTAAAATATGGAAAAGTATATCAAAACCAAACAATAAAAGATAGCACCAAGACAGAAATACAGCAAAATATATTAACAGTTATTCAAAGAAACAGACAATCAACAAATAAGAGAAATCATCAAATTAAACTACAACAAAAATATATAGCAATGAGTTTTTTAAAAATCTGTCACAATGGGGCAGCACCTATGGCTCAAAGGAGTAGGGCGCTGGCCCCATATTCCAGGTTCAAACCCAGCTCTGGCCAAAAACTGCAAAAAAAAAAAAAAAAAAATCTGTCACAATGGCAAAGATTTTTTTTTTAACGCTACTATTCAGTGTTGGCAAATATTTGGCGGAACAGGCCTTCTTATTATGCTGTTCCTGAAAAAGGTAATAACCTGGCGGGATAATGCCTCGTAAGTATAAAAAACTCTAAATTTTTGACCAAGGAATAAAATAATAATGACAATAAGTGACTAAGTACAGCACAGCTAACACAGACTAAAGTTATGGATGAAGTATGTACAATGCCCAAAATGCCTGGCTGAGGGCTCTGGAATCCAGCCCACCCTCCCCTCGCCTAGCTGTGGACATCCTCCCAAAGGAAGCACCCGTCTCTACTTTGCACCTCATAGTCTAGTTGTGACACTACACCTGCACCACCCTAAGATTTGACGTTTTCGTACTTGAGCCTCACAACTAATACTGTACAGAGCAGCTCTGCCCAACAGCATGCTCTTCAGGGATGAAGCGGCTCCGTACCTGCGCTTCCAATGCAGAAGCCACTAGCCGCATGTGGCTGGAGAGAGAGCCCTTGAAATGTACCTAGTGTGACTGAGAAACTGAACTTTAAAATTTTATTTGACTTAAATCCAAACAGCCACAGGTACAAATACGGAGGCTACCATTAACCTCGTTCTAGAGATGAGTAAATTCGGCAGTAAGAATGTGAACCCAGGCAGTGGAACCCAGAGCCCATGCTCTTCTCCACCCTGTCTGTCCTGCTTTCCAGACTCTGGGATTGGGCATCTGTAGAGGTAGGACGGAGAAGACTGGCCATGAGGCGTAATTGCTGAAGCCACATATGGGTTCACGGGGGTCATTTATACCTTTTCTCTACTCTGAGGTATGTTTGAAACCTTTATAATAAAAAGGTAAAAATATAACAACAAAAAGAAACAAATATGAAACAGACTGAATTACAGAACTGCCCACTGCAACAGTATTTAAATCGTTTAAAATCTGAAAGCCATATAAATGGCTCACAGTAGGAGAAGAATGAAATACTTTCTAGTAGAGATGCGATTATACACCTATTAAAAATAACATCTGCAAAGAATATTCAATGATGCAGGGAAATGATCTTGATGTGACATTAAGTATAATGTGCAGGATGCTAAGTAGCACACATAATAGAATCCCTACCACGCCAAAACGAATGAACATACACACAGAAAACAGAACCAGCATTCTACCAGTGATTTTTCCTGAATGGGTAGGATTATGGATGATTTTAATTTTTTTCTTTGGTATTTTGTTGGATTTTCCAAATTGCTACAATTTCTTTCTTAATCAGGCAACAAAACAAACACACACACCCCAAAAAACTGGCAGTGGAGACATACCTTTTTTAGCAAGCCAACGGCAATGTCAGTGTACAAGGTCCTCTCATGAGCCTCGTCCAGCATGATGGCGCTGAGAATCAGAGGAAAGCTCTCCGTGAGCACCGCAACAACTCACCCCACACGACCTCATCTAGACCGTCTGAGAGACGCGGTACCTAGCCCCCATGCAACCAGCCTGTATCAAAAGTAAATCCAAATCTCTCCTCTTTGACAACAAGGTAATTAATTCTTAAGCTAATATAAATGATAGTATTATTATACCTTAACAAAAAATGGTACATTACTATCCTTAAAGAGTTTTAAAATCCATATTGAATTCCAATAGGATTCAGTACCTGATTTTAAATGACAACATAACCTATAACCCCACAGAGCACATAAAAATTGGAACAAGGGGGTGGCGCCTGTGGCTCAAAGGAGTAGGGCACCAGCCCCATATGCCAGAGGTGGCGGGTTCAAACCCAGACCCGGCCAAAAACTGCAAAAAAAAAAAAAAAAAAAAATTGGAACAAGGCTCAACCACCTCAAAACTGTTAAGCTTCAGAGGCAGCTAAACAAGCAGGTGCTCACAGCTATGACACACATGTACCAGACAGTCAAATGTGACCTCTTCTCTCAGAATGCCAGAGTGTGATGGACAAAAATAAAGGAGGGAGAAAGTGATAATTATTCGGACTCTGTGTATTATATTCAAGAGAACACTGGCCAGTTAGTTTTCTCCATAGTCACCATCAATCCTGAGGCATGACAGAGGTCAGATAAAAAGGAAAAGTTGACAGACTGTTTAAATGATGACTGGGATTCTTAATTGGTCCATTTTTGACTGTAAAGAGACTATCCCATGTAAATTCTGAGAACATCAAGGATTCCAAAAAGGAAAGGTCAAGAGAAAAGCATCAGGGTAGCTGAACACAGGCATGAATCTCAGCTACTAACACAACCGCTTCTCAATCTGTTTGTGAACTTTGGAAACTTTAGGAAAGTTATCATAGGAAAAACACATTTACCTATATTTTGTTAACAATGGATCAACCATCATCTCCCTGACCAGCATTCCATCAGTAAGAAACTGAAAAATAAAAACACGAAGTTTTAGAAATAGTTGACACTGTAATTGTTTTTAAGTTCAAGTATAACTTTGTTATGTTCCAGCACAACCTCTTCACCAGGGTGTGTATAAGTCAATTCCCACAAAGAAAATGCCCCACTATTTTCATTATCAAGAAATGGGCCTGTTTATAAACAACATCGAACACAGGAGCTTCAGCTGGGGTTGCAAATCGTTTAGCAGAATTTCACCTGCATTTACTATGTGGACTACAGCTAGGCCCCACTTCCTCTGGGCCTGCTCCGCAGGTACTACTGATGAACAGGCAGTGAGGATAAGCCTGTGTCTGCCCAAAGGAATATCATGAGTCTGAGATAATTATTCTTCAAACATCCCCAAAACCATAGATTGCAGACCCTAAGATTATTAACCTCAACTGATATTATTTTCGGGAATCTAGATGAAGGGGCCAAGTTAAAAACATGGGCTATGGTGTCAGACTGATGGGAGTTTAGATCTACTAGATCTCTTACTAGCTGTCTGAACCTTGGGCAAGTTACTTACGTTCTCTGAGCCTGATTCCTCATCTGTAAAAGCGCCCACCTCACTGGGTTATTGTGAGAACTAAATGAGATAGTATAGTTGTTCTGCAGTATCCTCAGGGGATCAGCTCCAGAGCCCTAACCCCTCAAGACACCAAAATCTTTGGATCAAGGCCCTTATATAAAATGGCTTATCTGCATACAACCTACACAGATCCTCCATTATACTTTAAGTTTTCCCTAGATTACTTATAATACCAAATAATGCGTCAATGCTATGTAAATATTTGTTATACTGTGTTGTTTTTTATTTGAATTACTTTTTATTGTCCTTTGTCACTTTTTATTGTTGTTTTAAATATTTTTGATTCCAGGTTAGTTGTGGATACAGAAACCTAAAATGTGAAAGGCCAATTATACATGGAAAGGTTTTATCACAGGACTGAGCACCCAGGAGTGTGCAAGGATTGGCAGCTACTATAATTTAGGACTAACACTTATCAATTGCTTCAGAAACACACCATAACAGCCTTGTTAAAGGACTGAATTTGGTTTTGGGTGCTGTTAAACATCCCCACGCATGCTGGACCGTAAGTTGTTTTTGAGAATAGATTTCCATATTTTTTCTTGGACCTGTTATTGTCACATACATACACAGGAGAACAAGTGAGAACTTGCCACCAAATGTCAAATCACCAGTCAAGAACTGAGTGCCTTAAAAATTATAACCAAATGGAACACAAAAACTTTTTATGAAAGACTCAAATTTGGAAAACAAGGTCTACATTTTTATAAATCATTACACTGTCCATTTAGCTCATCTGGTTATTTCAAATTTTCCTCTGTGGCAAATTGAGAAGTAAACAAGATTCTAATAACCAATTTTCATTTCATCAAAGCTTCTTCATTTACTGTTTCATTGCACTGATCAGACTTTGATTCTGGCATTGTGGTATGCAGTAGACACCCTATAGAGGTGATTATACACTGATTACTACTCATGCTAACTATCTTAACATTAGCAACTAGGTCAAAGAACACACCTATAAAATCCTTTATCATGTAAAAATGGAAAGTTCTAACTAATGCTATGAATTTTACACTTTATCAATTTATACCACTTTTTCCCTGTTTTTAAGTCATTTGCAGGCTTGTTTTTATTATGATAGCTATCTGAGTTAGTGAAAAAACAGTAACACTCATGAGAAAAGACCGCATTGAGTCCTGATTTGATCACTGATGAGCAAATTAACAAGGCAAGTAAGTCATTCAACCTCCTAGGCTCTCTACCTCGTCATCTATAGAACAAAAGGCTAAACCTTACTTCCAAGCTCCTTTCTGGGCTGAAATTCAAGGACTCTTTGAAAGAATTCTGTACCTCCCAGCAGACTAACATCCCTGAGGGCCAGGATGATTTCCTACACTTTCTGCAAGAAAGTATCGTGTACAACATCGAGAGCTGCTTGTTTTAAATTCCCCGCAAATAACCTCCTTCCGTATTTCCACTAGGAAAAGCAGCTTGAGAACTTCACCTTAATTCGCGTAGCCAGCAGGTCAGTGCAGTCATCAAAGCGAATGCAGTAGCCCACCTCATGGCCCAGCACTGCACCCCTTTCCTCAGCTACTCTCCCTGCAACCTTTGGGAAGAAAGATCATGCTGAAAATAGAGACATAGAAATTACTGCACAGAGCACATACTATGGAAAATCTAAAAGTCATTTATTTTTCAAATGGTTTATGAACACAGTGAAAAACAAGAAAGGGGCAGGTTATTAGAGAACAAGCCTGAGATAATATTTGCTATATTTTAACTGATATATTTATGTCTTGCGCTTCATTCTGTCATAGTCTTGGGGCAACTTATAAGAACATACACAACAAAAATAAACTGATTATATATGGATTACTATTAGATGGTGTACTTATAACATATACAACAAAAATAAAGTTACTTAAAGATGTTACAGATGAACATCAAATAAATTACAGATAAAATATCAAAGCCCATGAAAAAAAATTAAAAACATAGATATGCCAATGTTTTTAAAGTTGAGTCACGAGTTCAGCTCTAAATTTGGTGGCCAAAGCAAAAAGGCAAGTAAAAGAAGTAAGAGTCACCCTGTCCCTGTAGAAAGAGCACCCCAACCAGCAACAACTTTTCATCTCCAGGCTTTAAAACAAAGCTGGTTACACTGGACCACGAAGGCAGGAGAACAGAAATGGTCAAATTCAACACTGGGCCAAGTTCATTTCACTTTGAAGACAAAGGTTAATGCTTCAAGAACCAGATACCTGGCAGCGCCTGTAGGTCACTGGGTAGAGCGCCAGCCACATACACCGAAGCTGGCAGGTTCGAACCCAGCTCGTACCAGATAAAACAACAATGACAACTGCAACAACAACAAAAAAAAAGCTGGGCATTGTGGCAGGTACCTGCAGTCCCAGCTACTTGGGAGGCTGAGGCAAGAGAATCGCTTAAGCTCCAGAGTTTGAGGTTACTGTGAGCTGTGACACCCCAGTACTCTATTGAGGGCAACAGCTTGAGACTCTACTGCAAAAAATAAAAAAATTAAAAAAAGAACCAGATACCTAAAACAATTCACACCAGTGTCACAGCTATTAGAATCACTAAGATGGGAAGTGCAGACAAGAACACAGATTTGTGGGGAAAAGGTGAATGAGTACAGGAGAAGATTAATAAAAAATCTAAGCCAACATAATAAAGTAAAAGTAGAGACAGAATCAATGACGTATTATGGAGACCATAAATCCCATCTACAGACAGAACTTCCCCCATATGACAAATGAAAGCTGAACCTAAGAAAGAGAGGCAAACTCTCTGCACTCCTCTAAGAGGGCTATTCAGAGGGTACTGACGCAATAATAGAAAATATTTAAAATAATAAACATAAAAGTGGAGGAGTAATAATGCTTATCATTCAGTTTCATTTAAAAGAAAATATAGTTTAATGTTCGCTACTAACTACCTAACTGAAAAGAACCAAGGGGACACGACATTAAATAGAGGTTTCCAGGGACACGGCACACCAGGGATGGAAGGAGTTCAGGCTCTCTCTTTCACAGGCAAGGCAACCTCCTCTCCCCCAGGCCACCCACTTCCAGGGTGCTGAGGGGTCCTGATGCAGCCAATCCATCCCAGCAGCCCCAGCTCAGGAGCACAGAGGCTCCCTGCACTCAGCTTATAAGCCAAGCATAACCGGAAAGTATCTGCCCATCAGTGGGTAAGAAACTAAAGAGCAGACGTGGATCAGAAGTGGCTATGCCTAGTGACTTGAAGTTACAGATGTAGGAGGCCAAAGCAGAATCAATCACCTAACAGGTGGTCTATGCCGTGTGGTTTTCCAAAATATCTCATGAAACCAGACATTCATTCTACACTGCTTTTTGCCTCTGGTGGTTGTATTTCCCCAATAACCAGCATTTCACCAGGACGGTTTTGTTATTGTTTCAATTACAGCCCTACACATTATGCTATAAATCTCGGGAAATGGTACAAATAGAGAATGTGTACACAGAGATAATGGGAACTTGTAGAGAAAATAGAATGAACATAAACAAATGAATCCCACTCATAAAAATACAATCATTTTATGGGTCTATAAAATAAAAGTCAAACCTATTTATTCTTTTCTCTTTTTGAAACAGGGTCTCGCTCTGTCACTGAGCTACAGTGCAGTGGCATCATCATATCTCACTGCAACCCCAAACTCCTTCTGCCTCAGCCTCCCAAGAAGCTGGGACTATAGGCACCCACCACAATGCCCAGCTAATTTTTCTATTTTTATAGAGACAGGGTCTCCCTGTGGGTCAGGCTGGTCTCAAACTCCTGGCCTCAAGCCATCCTCCTACCTTGGCCTCCCAGAATGCCAGGACTACAGGCATAAAACACCATGCCCAGCCTGGTTTATTCTTATTACTTCACTATTTATGTACATTTTCTCTAATGCGTATGTATTCTTATTTTCCGACCTTTGAAAATAATTTATCATTTATGATCACACTATGTCATTTTCTACTGGATGTTTTTTTCCTACTCCCAAAGGTAGCTCAGAATCTACTGGCTTTTTCCTCCTCCCCCCATCGCTGTGCCCAGCTCTGCCCTTACCCTGCCAGCATGGCACACCTACCTATCTACCTACCCACCCCACCTGCCTAGGACTCAAACCTATGTCACCACCATGAGGGGATGCTACTGTAGCCACTAAACCATGCTGGCTGGTTCTGCTGGCTTTTCAATCTCTATCATTTAAGTTTTGCTCTTTATAACTTTATCAATTGGACTGGACAAACATTGTCCTTTTGATAGCCGGTCACTCAGCACCTACTTTTCTGGCAAGTACTGTGCCCTAGACCTCCACAAATTGTATCTTATTAAATATACACAAGCGCTTGAGACAAGCAAGACTCCCCCGTGTTTACAAATGAGGAGACTGAAATAAGACAGGCGTTAAAGCTTGTTCTGAATCACAGGTCAAGGAGGGCCTGGTCTTGAAGCCAAACCTATACCACATGAGTCCAACAAACACAGTCATGACTAACTGCCTCTCGTGGAGATCAAGCAATAGCTTATGCAATCTGGTTTCAGGCTCTGAGATTGTTTTCAGATTTTAGTCTGCACACAAAGTACTTTCTGAGACGCAGCATTTCAAACTTGGCAGCTCTATTAATATTACCCAGTTAATGTGTACACTCTTTGTTCTTTCAAGAGAAAGCTTGTGGTTTCATGGACATTATCTATGGCTACAAATTTGAAACTAAAATGCAAGCTGATTAAGAGCTAGTATTCCAAACCACAAGAAGGAAAAATTGCTTTAATTTTTAGGTAACTGAGTCATCTTTCAGTGACATAAAAGGTTAACTCTAGCATTGCAAAATAGTTAAATAGTTTCCAAATTGTAACCCCATTATTATACACACAAAAACACACACACACACAACACATACACACAGAGTCAGGTAGAACCTATAAAATGTTTATCGATAATTTCTAATTTGAACACCAGTAGAAAATGGACTTTGGGAAAAGGATTACACAATAATTAAAACTCCATATAAAGTAAAAATAACCTGGGGAAACAGAATTAGTTAGTTTCTTGTCCAGGTAAGATGGCAATTTATTTCGCCCCCACTTCCTTCTCTTAAAGCTAATTTAAAAACAACAAAAGAATTAAAATACATTATCAACAAAAAACTTCACCTTCAATAAAAGAAGAAGATACCCACAAGCCCGAATGATACACCAGGAAGCACAGCTGCCAAACACTGGGAGGTCTGAATCTAGAAGAAAGGAGGGGCTCAGCACCTGTAGTTCACTGGCTAGGGCGCCAACCACGTACACCAGAGCTGGCAGTTTCTGATTCAGCCCAGGCTTGCCAAACAGCAATGACAACTACACCTACCAAAAAAAAAAAAAAAAAAAAAATAGCCAGGCATTGTGGCAGGCGCCTATAGTCCCAGCTACTTGCAAGGCTAAGGCAAGAGAATCGCTTAAGCCCAAGAGTTTGAAGTTGCTGTGAGCTGTAGGGTGTGTGTAGGGTAGGGTGTGCGTGTGTGTGTGTGTGTGTGTGTGTGTGTGTCTCGCTCTTGCTCAGGCTGATCTCGAATCTGTAAGCTCAGGCAATCTACCTGCCTTAGACTCCCAAAGTGCTAGCATTGCAGATGTAAGCCACCACACTCGGCCATACTTAGTTAATAGTCTCAGAAAAGAGAATAAAATAAATGGAACAGAAAAGTATGATAAAATGTAATAGAAGAGAATTTGCCCAATATAAAGATCGAATTGAACCTGAAGATTAACTAAAGAGTTTTTCCATGTTTAGAAAACATTGAGACAAAACAATCAGGTATATCCTGATGACAAAGCAATCTTATAAGCATTCAAGTAAAAAAAGTAAGGTAAGAAGGTAGTGGGAAAATCCTTGCCAGACCTCAGACTTTGATATGGTATCCTCAATGCCAAAAGGCAGTGAGGCAAAGTCTGCACAGTTCCCAGGAAAAGAGAGTGTGAATTAAGAATTTTAAACCAACAAGGACCAGAACTGAATATTCTCAAGCATGCTTTTAAAAATTAACTAATGATAAAATGTAGCCCATGCAATTCAGGGTTGGCAAAACCCCAGAAAATAATTGGTGATAAGCATTCAATCCATTTACACTAGAATTAAGGTTAAACACCTATGGGAATGATTAATAATGTATATCTTATAAATCATGAAATGACAATAACAACTCTACAACAAATGGAGGGAGGGAAAGTTGAAAGAATAATATGTATGCTAATTTATTCTTCTTTCATAACAGGAAACTGTACCATGGAGTCTGAAAAATAACATCCTGAAGTTTTTGTAATCTTTTTTCTTATTTTTCAAGCGAGAACAAATTCTCTTGTGGTGATATCTAAAGCTCAGTAACTACTCTTTCAAGTTTCCTGTTTTGTTAAATTCATCAAAAGTAAATATATGTTTATGATTCCTTTTCATAAAATTATTCAGCCAATCATTCATCTCTATCTTTAAGAGAAGCTTGGAATGATGTTCACAAATGTTCATGATGTTTGTGGTGAATGGGGAAATTTGGGATTTTTACAATTTGCTTTTACTTCCTCAGCACTTTATTACTTAAAATGTTCATAATGTACAGGTATCAATTTTACAAAAATATTCAAATCATAGTTCTTTTTCAACTGAAGAATGAAATTCTTAAGGAGCAACTTCTATTTATTTGGAGTTTTTAGGAAGTAAAAAAAAATTCACAGAAGTAGAAGATACAGAGAGAATCTTTGCAATACAAAAAGAAACTCACTGTAACAGCAGCCACTCTCCGAGGCTGGGTCACTCCTACCACTCTTCCTTCGGCGGTCCAGCCAGCTTCTGCAAGGTACTACAAATGAAACCACATCTAAGTACATCTGACACCACTTCTCCAAAAACAATCTCCCCCCAAAGTGCCCCTACATTGTGTTAAAATCACTGAGAAAGTAAATAGCACAGTTTTTGTCCCAGCAGAACTTTCAAAATTGTTTTACAGATGAAGGATCAGCCTCCTGCGTTGCTGAGACTATACGCATCTGCCACCATATCTGCCTGATTTTTCCTTTTGGTGGGGGGGGGTGGGTAAAGAAGGGCTCTTGCTCTTGCTCAAACTGGTCTCAAACTACGACCTCAAACCCTCCTCCCAGCTTGGTTTCCCAAAGTATGAGGATTACAGGCATGAGCCACCACACCCAGCCCCAGTGCCCCATTTAATCCTCACAACAAATCTTATAAGGAAGGTAACATACATCATCATCAACAATACGTACATGAGGAAACAAAGAGGTCGTGTAACTTGTCCAAGGAAAGGGATGAATATCTAGTGCTGGAATTCAAGTTCAGTAAACCAAAGCCACGACACACAACCAGGACATAATCTATCATCCAAATTCAACCACACATAGTTAATTTCTTAGTTGTAGTCTTAAGTGAAAGAAAAATAATTTCCATAAAAATAAACAAGCTGACTAGGTGTGGTGGCTCAAGCCTATAATCCCAGCACTCTGGGAGGCCAAGGCGGGTGGATCACCTAAGCTCAGGAGTTTGAAACCAGCCTGAGCAAGAGTGAGACTCCCATCTCTAAAAATAGCCTGGCACTGTGGTGGGCTCCTGTAGTCCCAGCTACCTGGGAGGCTGAGGCAAGAGGATTGCTTGAGCCCAAGAGTTTGTGGTTGCTGAGCCGTGATGATGCCAAGGCACTCTATCCAGGGCAACAGACTGAGATACTGTCTCAAAAGAAAAAAAAATACAAATAAATAAACAACCTGACCAGGAAACTAGCCACCTCCATACACTGAGACTCAGATTTCTATTATAATAAAGATACTGCAAAAGCAGGTGTAGTGCTGATGTCAAGAGAAGGGGCGTCCAGGAGGGGGATCACTATGCATAGGCCTGCTGCCGCCTCAGTTCTCTACTCTCTCCAAGGATTACCAAAATCTGATCTTCTACCTAAAAGACAGAATGAGGAAGAACTTCACCAGTAACAGTACTAATAAAAACTGTACTGAAGAAGAACTTGTTCTCACAGTCCATTTTTTTGACAGAGTGAAAAATATCATCTAAGTGTGGAATTTTAAAGCTGTAAGTATTTGGTGCTTTAGCATGCTGTACTTTTCCAAGGAAAGATATTACATAAATCTAGAAGAACAGTTTATTGAGAGAGACCTGCTTCATATCCTTGCTGTAACCTCCAGTTCCTCAGCCTTTCCAATTTTCCTAAGCCATAACTCAAATTGAGCTTCAGAGTAAGCTGGAAACAGTGACTGTCTCAGGGAAGGGAAAATGAATGACTAAGAGAAAAGGGAACAACAGGAAGGGCAGCAAATATTTGGGCCAATAATATAATACAATCTATCACAATGACCTAGTCATTTTCAATAGCAAAACTTAGGAGATTTGCTTTTTACTATTTATTCCCCTTTTTAAATTTTAATACATTTAAATGCATTTCCTATTCAAAACAGTCCTTATAACAAAATACAATTCCATAAAATAATTAAATTCAAATGCACTTGTGCTTTGAGCCAACAATTCCACAACCACTATATTATTCTATAAATATACCTATATGTGTACAAAATAACATGTACAAACTGATTAACTGCATCATCATGATAATACAAAACAGGAAACGACCTTAATGTCCATCACTGGAGATTGGTAAAATAAACTACATGCACATGCTGTAATCTATGGGACTGAATAAAGAATGATATAGTATGTGGAAAAAAGACAAGGTGTAGAGTCACTGCCTGACTTCAACATGTACGACAAAATTATAGTAACCAAAACAGCATGGTACTGACATAAAAACAGAAACACAGATCAATGGAACAGAACAGGAAACACAGAAATAAATCTATGCATTTACAGCCAACTAGACCTTGGGAAAGAATATTTTCTGCAATAAATGATGCTGGGAAAACTAGATTTTCACGTGCAGAAAACTAAAACTAGGCCCCTATCTCTGACCATTACAAAAATCGAATCAAAATGAATTAAAGATATGTATATAAGGTGCTAAAAACCATGAAACTACTAAAAGAAAACAGCAGAAATGCTTCATGACTTTGGTCTTGGCAAGGATTTTCTAGATACAATCACAAAAGCACAGACAACAGAGAACAAAAATAGACAAATGTGATTACGTCAAACTAAAAAGCTACTGCACAGCAAAGAAAAAATCAATTAAAGTGAGGAGACAATGTACAGAACAAGAAAATATATGCAAACTACACATCTGACAAGGGGTTAACATCCAGAATATATAAGGAACTCAAACTGCTCAAAAGCAAAAAAAAAAAAAAATCTTGGCTCAGCAACTATAGCTCAGTGGCTAGGGCACCAGCCACACACACTGGAGCTGGAGGGTTGAAATCCAGCCTAGGCCTGCCAAACAATGACAACTACAACCAAAAAATAGCCGTGCTTTGTGGCAGGCACCTGTAGTCCCAGCTACTTGGGAGGCTGAGGCAAGAGAATCACTTAAGCCCAAGAGTGGGAGGTTGCTGTGACAATACAGCACTCTACTGAAGGTGATATAGTGAGACTCTGTCTCAAAAAAAGAAAATCCAGTTTAAAAATGAGCCGAAGACCTGATTAGACATTTCTCCAAAGATCATATATAGACAGCCAACAGGTAAGGAATATGAAAACATGTTCAACATCACTAATCATTAGGGAAAGACAAATCAAAACCATAGTAAGATACCCCTGGGCCCCAATTAGAATGGCTATCATTAAAAGGACAAAAAAAAGGATGTGGAGGAAGGGGAATTCTCATATGCTATCAGTGGAGTCGTAAATTAGTACAGACATTGTGGGCAACAAATAGTATGGGTCAAAAATTTAAAAACAGAACTACCATATGATCTAGCAATCCCACTACTGGGCTGACATCCAAAGAAATCTTTCAGTCCATCAAACAGGCTTCTGCACGCCATGTTTATTACAACACTATTCACAATAACCAGGACACGGAATCAGCCTAAGTGTCCATCAACAGATGGATGAATTGTAAAAGAAAAAGTGGTGTATGTGTATAAGAGAATACACTTCAGCCACAAAATGAAATCGGTGAACCTAGAAGACATCTGACTAAGGGAAATAAGCCAAGCAGAGAAGGACAAATACTACGTCATTTCACTCACGTGTGAAACCTAAATAAGCTGATCTTGTAAAAGCAGGGAGTAGAATGTGATTGCTAGTGTCTGGGAAGGGGAGGGGGAGAGGAGAAGTTAACAACAAGTACAAAGCAAAAGTTAGGAGGAATAAGTCCGGATGTCTTTTGCACAAGAAGATGACTATGTTCAAAATAACGTGCTGAGCTGGCTCTGTGGTGCAATGGATAGCACACTGGAATTCTAACATAATGTATTAGATATTTCCAAAGAGTTAGAAGAACAGACGCTGAATATTCTCACCACACAAAAATAGTGAACATTTGAGGTGATAGATACGCTAATTACCCTGATTTGATCATTACACAGCGTATACGTGTATCAAAACATCACACTATAGCCCATAAATACGGATAGTTATGATGTGACAACTGAAAATAAAACTTTAAAAACCAATGAATGAATAAGAAAAAAGATAAGACATATTAAAACATTTATAGATGTTTTAGGGAGAATATACATATGAAAACATAAATAAATGCACATACATTTCTCTGTAAATGCATGATAAAAAATCTCTACTAGGAAACTGATAACAGGGCAGCACCTGTGGCTCAGTGAATAGGGCACTGGCACCATATACCAAAGGTGGCAGGTTCAAACCTGGCCCCGGCCAAACTGCAACAAAAAAATAGCCAGGCGTGTGGCAGGCGCCTATAGTCCTGCTACTCGGGAGGCTGAGGCAAGAGAATAACCTAGGCCCAGGAGTTGGAGGTTGCTGTGAGCTGTGAACCCACAGCACTCTACTGAGGGCAATAAAATGAGACTCTGTCTCTAAAAGAAAAAAAGAAAAGAAACTGATAACACTGGTTGCCTGTGCATAAAGGAAATGAGTAACAGAAGATAAAAGCAGAGGAAAATCTTTTTCTTATGTCCTTTTGTGCCTTTTGAATTTTAAACCATGTGAACCCACTAATATTAAAAAGTAATTAAACCCTAACAATAAAAAAAAAACCTACCCTCATGTGCTGTCATACTACCCAGCTTGGAGCCTCAGCCCCTGCTATTTCCATCTGGCCATCTTTCCCCAGACTCAGTCCCTCAGTAGGCCTCCCCTTTTCCCTGGTAGCTAAGCCTTGCTGGGATAAAAGACTAGCCTGTTGTGATATATTTATCATTGTTCTAAACATGTGCTGCCCATCCCTGTGGGAGGATTATATACATTGTCACCCTCTTGCTTTCTAGCCTGGCCATGATACTTGCTTTGACCAATGATATTCAAGCAGAAGGACCACTTTGGGTCAGAAGTTTTAAGCGCTATCTCATGATTCTGCCAACAACCACAAGATCAACAAGTCCCACATAAAAGCCATACCTTAAGCCTCAGTGCCAGTGATGACACAGAGTGGCCTCAAAGCCAACCCAAGATGACCACATAGTATGAGCAAGAAATAAACCTTTGTGTTTTAAGCCACAGAGATTTTCAGAGATTTTACCTTTGTTACCAAACATAGTTTATCCTAGTTTGACTAAATGACCACACAGACTAATTCCAAAACAAACTAAAATTATGGACTATCATGTGGCCTTTTACCTCTGTGCTTCATTCCCTGACCTCACTACTCTCTGCAGTGTCCTCACCTGAAAAAGGTAATGATAGTACCTACCCCTTCGAGTCACTGAGGATTACACAGATCAGCATGTGTGAAGTACTCACTTCATGTAGCACTTATCACTATTATTATCGTACTATAATCAGTTATTATTACTAGTACTATTATTATATTACTCTCTAAATGATAATCACTCAGTAATTTAGCATGGTCCTTCTCCTGTGTTGCTCTATAAGAAACAAGTAACTTGGCTCGGCGCCTATAGCTCAACCGGCTAA